CAATTCTGAATAGGAATTTTCAGGAGGCATCCCAAAATGGAAGGGTGGTGCATCTGATTTTACATTTCCTTTTTTTTTTTTTTTTTGCGGTACACGGGCCTCTCACTGGTGTGGCCTCTCCCGTTGCGGAGCACAGGCTCTGGACGCGCAGGCTCAGCGGCCATGGCTCATGGGCCCAGCCGCTCCGCGGCATGCGGGTCCGGGGCACGAACCCTTGTCCCCTGCATCGGCAGGCGGACTCTCAACCACTGCGCCACCAAGGAAGCCCTGGATCAGTGGTTCTTAATGTAGGTTATATATTGGAATCTCCTGGAATGCTTTAAAAAGTCCTAGTGCCTAAATCCTACCTCCAGAGATTCTGATTTTATTGTTCTGGGGTGATGCTTGAGGGTTTTTTGTTTTGTTTTGTTTTTTTAACTCTCCTGATGATTCCAGTGTACGGCCAGGTCGCAAACTTGTTCTAGAAGTTTAAAAACAAAAAATCCTTAATAGTAGGCTGACTAAATTGTATTTCTGTGGGTAAATTTGCTCATCAAATCATAGTAAGTAAGTAAATAAATAAGGAAAGCCTAACATTGATTATGGAGCTGTTGTACAGAGTGTATTCTGCTAAACAGTGGGGGATATAAAATCTCTACTGTTAATATAGTTGAAGAAATAAACAAAAAAAATGGAAGTGAAACTCCTTTTTTTGGGAACAGGTCCATTTCCCAAAAGAGGCATTGTCTATATTTCTTCCAGAATTGAAGAATGCTGCTGCATTGTATGTATCACCTCAGTTTTTAAAAATCCATTTATTTTTGCAAGAGGATCTTTCCAAGAGCAAGGTGGGATGAAATGACAGTTGTGGATGTTGAGGGACTTAAACTGGATCTTAAGGTAAAAAGGGATGCAGCCAGGCAAGGAGGAAGAGGGTTCCAGTGGAGAGAATGCTAGTCAAGACGTGATTATAGGCAAGTGATTCAGGAGGATCAGTGCAGCCATCCTAAAAGGGCCCCCAGTACTTGTAATAGGGAGTTGTTTTTTTTGTTTGTTTTTTTTTTAATTAATTATATTTAGTTTTGGCTGTGTTGGGTCTTCGTTGCTGTGTGGGCTTTCTCTAGTTGCGGTGAGTGGGGGCTTCTCTTCATTGCAGTGTGCAGGCTTCTCATTGCGGTGGCTTCTCTTGTTGTGGAGCACAGGCTCTAGGCCCATTGGCTTCAGTAGTTGTGGCACGCAGCCTCAGTAGTTGTGGCTCATGGGCTCTGGAGCGCAGGCTCAGTAATTGTGGCTCACGGGCTTAGTTGCTCCATGGCATGTGGGATCTTCCCAGCCCAGGGCTCGAACCCGTGTCCCCTGCATTGGCAGGCGGATTCTTAACCACTACACCACCAAGGAAGTCCCTGGGATTTTATTAAAACCTAGAGAAGAGACAGTTTCATAAGGATGGAGGCAATAATGAGTGGTATGCTTTGGAAGTCCAAGAGCATGAACAAGGGAAAAAGGCCTGTGGATTTTGCCATTGAGGACCATTAGGGACCTTTGCATTTCAGCATCTGCCTGAGTATAGTTCCCATCACAAGTAAGATAAAAGCCAAACCCTTTACCATAGCTCACTCAGGGCTCCACAAGATCTGGTCTTAACCAGACTCTCCTTGTTCCTCACCAGCTGCATGAGCTTCATGTTCCTCAGACGCTCCCAGCTTGTGTTCCTCCTTTGCCCCTGTTCTTCCTTCTGTCCATCGCCATCTTCACCTCATTCCTTCATCTTGAAGCTCACAGCCCCTCTCCAGCACCCTGCTCCGATTTGTCCTCCACAGAAAGACTTCCCTTGTGTGAAAAAGTCAGTACCATACCCCTTTGTTACTCTTTACCCCTTTACCATGATTTATTTTTCTTCAGAGCTGTACTGATTTCCTAGGGCTGCCATAACATATTTCCACAAATTGGGTGGCTTAAAACAACAGAAATTTATTCTCTCACAGTTTTAGAGGCCAAAAGTCTGAAATCAAGGTATTAGCAGAGTTTGTTCCTTCAGGAGGCTCTGAGGGAGAATCTGTTCAATGCCTCTCTTCCAGCTTCTGTGGTTCCTGGCACTCCTTAGTGTTCCTGGGTTGCTGCTACAGCACTCAGGTCTGTGCCTCCATCTTCACATGATGTTTCCCCTGTGTGTGTCTCTCTCTGTCCAGATTTCCCCCTTATGAAGACACCAGTCATTAGGAGGGGGCTCACCCTTATCTCATATAACCTCATCTTAATTCGATTACATCTTCAAAGAGTTTATTTCCAAATAAGGAAGGTGACATTCACAGGTCCCCCGGGGGTTAGGACTTCAACACATTTGGGGGTGGGGGGACATAATTCAACACTACAGGAGCACATAATATTATGCTACATACTTATGCTTGTTTGTGTTCTTTCATCCACTGAAATATAAGCCCTGAAGGAAGGGACTTGGTTTTGTTCAGTGCTCTCTGAGTCCTACCACAGCGCCTGGAATGCTCAATATTAGTTGGATGAAATTGGCCCACATGAAGTAGAGGATGATTTGGATAATGAGAAAATGGGAAAAGCTGGTTAAAAAGACTCTTCATTCAAGAAGTTTAGCAGGATGAAAAAGGACCACAGTAATGGTTAAATCAACTTTAAGGATTTCAAACAGTGAAGCTTAGGCCACACTTGTGAGCCACTTTTTCCATGAGATGGTTACCCAAGTCCAGGGATTACCTTTCAGCTCTGCAAGAGAAGAAAATGAATTTAGCAGCTTCCCCAGGTACAGAACTGACTCATGATAACCAAACTAAAAAGAAATGGATTTGTAGGGCAGAATGCCATGTAACTATTAAGAGTGTCTCAATAGTTAGGATTGATTTTTCTGCCAAGGGCACTACATTCACTAATGGTAATCAGTTTATACACCTGAAGGTTTCTTGATAAATATGAAAGTTTAGAGTCAGCAGAGTTGATATTTCTCAAGGGATATTCCATCAAGCAACGGCAGCTGATATACTCTCTTTTGTAGGGTGGGTTTTCCTTAGAGTGAGGGTGTGAGCTCTTTTGCTCAGCAATTTTTGTACTTGGGAGACCTGCTTTCTATAGGCTCAGCATATGTTTTAGTGACTAGGCAATTGAAGCAAGGCCATTTGGATATTTTCTCTCTCTTAGTGTGGACAAATGGAATGAGCTTGGTAATTAAAGTAAGTATCTTTTCTGTATGAATTGTGTTTCATAGTAACTAAATAGTAGATGAGGGGGAATTGATTACTGGTGGGATTCTAGTTAGTAAAGAAAGAATGATAAAATTTGTGTATCACCACATTACAATCCATAATGGAACTGTGAATCTAGGCTATGATCATCAATGGCTGCAATTTCAAAATCATTAAGTGAAAACTGATAGGAACTTCATACTGGACGAAACAGACTGACAGCACCTAAACCCAATGACCAGAGAACATCACCGAGAAAGACTTCATGTGCGTCCTGTGATGCAGTAGGAAAAACAGAGCATCTCTTTTAAGTATTCTTGTAAAAAATCAAACCCAAATTTGAGTAAGCCTCTATTCCATCTGTTTATAGAAAATACGGGGAGTAGAGGAATGTGTTAAATAAACCACATCTTGTGTAATCAATCATGCAAATCCAGAATATGGGAAATTGTACAGCCTTCCTACTCTCAAAGTGTGGTCTGCAAACCAGTAACATTGATAGCTTCAGAGAGCTTGTTAGAAGTGCAGATTCTCAGGCCTACCCTGGGCCAGCTGGTTCAGATTCTGCCTTTTAACAAGATTCCTAGGTAATTTGCACATGCCTTAAAGTTGGAGAAGCATTGCAAAGGACAATGACCTGGTTTTTTTCAACACATAAATGGTTAGGGAAAAAAGGGAGGGAACTGTTACAGTGGTATGGAGGGCATATTATTGCTTTCTTGGGCTTATAGAGTTGAATGATACTCAGTAGCATCATTGAGGGAAAGATTTAAAGAATGTGCATTATAATCTTCACTACAGTCCAATGCAGAGTTGTAGTGAAAGAGCCCTAGTGTAGGAATCCTGTTTTCGCATTACAGTTGACTCTGAACGACACAAGTTTGAATTACATGGGTCCACTTATATATGGATTTTTTTTTCAATGAATACTAACACTACACAGTCTGAGGTTGGTTGAATTTGAGAATGCAGAACCACGGATTCGGAGGGCTGACTATAAAATTATACATGGATTTTTGACTGCATGGGGGGTCGGTGCCCTAACCCCATGTTGTTCAAGCATCAACTGTATAGTGTAATCACATTTCAGATGATTCAGAAATTCAGTACAGGACTTAAGAATGACATTGTTATTATCTCTAAAGTTAAAGAGTACATGTTTATCTTACCTTTAACTTAACTATTTGAGATGTTTTTCTCTGAACTTTAAAAATTTTTTTTGCTTGGACAGACCTCTTCAAAGTTTTACTGAGCCCATTCCCATTTCTAAAAGGAGGACATTGGAGGATCTAAAGGATTCTAACACTCAAATTTTAGGATAAAAAAAATTATTTAAAAATTTAAAGTGTACATGACTGCTGATAGTCTTCAAGTTGATTAAAAAAACGAGGTGTCCCCTCTTCATCAGCACAACCTTTCCTTGGCCACATTTTGTAATAACTATCTGAGATCTTGTTGCCGAACCACAGAGAAGTGGAGAGAATTGCATCAGCTGGCTGCACAGTGCTTGGGGCAGCATCGCAAAGGAGCCCCAGGATCAGCCCTCCACCCAGGATCTGGGTGAGGTAGTTGAGCCCATCATCACTTTACTTGCCAAACATGACTAGATGTGATGGGTTCAGGAGTCAGTTTGTCACATATTTCTTTCTTTACAGGTTTTGCTTTCCAGAAGCGTTTTAAATGGGCCATGCTATTTAAGGAGTGGAGTGTATTTTGTTTTAAAATGTTGGTTTCAGTTTTAATTTGATCCAGTGAATCTTAATCATTAACAGTGTCTTAATTTGCCCACTTTTTCTGATGTAACTAGTTCTGATGGCTGGGAATAAAGGAAGAGGACGTGCTGCTTACACCTTTAATATTGAGGCAGTTGGATTTAGCAGAGGTGAAAAGTTACCTGATGTAGTATTGAAGCCACCTCCACTATTTCCTGTAAGTACATTAACAGCAAAATGCTCACAGGGTGTTTTTTCATGTTTCAGAGAAAATTTAAATTCTGTATAAGACTTGAATATATGATATCATTACGATATCCTAACTATGAGAAAGTAAAAGAGAGTGTGTCACTTGCCTTTAACTTAAATATTTCCACTGTTCTTTTCTGAAACTTTTCTAATTTTCAAACTGCTTTCTTAAAATACTGAAAACTATATACACCTTTTCCTGAATGTATTCAGTACTTTTTGAACCAAGAAAGAATTTTTTTTCAATCCTTTCATCTTATAATGCTGTTATTGATACATTCCAATATTAAAATAATATTTTTAAAAGTAAAGTGAGGTTTTACAGTGGTCCTCACTTCCCATTGTGCCAGAGCTTCACCTAATGATTTTCTTCTCATCTTGTATCTATAGAATTTAATTTTGCTCCCTAGTATACCACTTGACCTTTTACCCACTGAACTTTTTTTTTGCTTATTTCCTTATTAAAGTCAATTTTAATTTTGTTACTCTTTCTCAGAATATAAGCATTTCTACTACATTTAGTGTTGCTTTTAAATTTAATGAGTATGCTGCAGACTTAATTGGTGTAATTTTTAATCTAATGTTTTCGCTTTATATTAAGTTTAAAATGTAAGCTTACATTTCCAGATGCACATGTGCTGTAGTATAAAATATGAAAAAATCATAAATAACCAGATACTCCCTCCAGGAATCTTTTCCCTCTTTTAAAAGGAAACATCCTTTGTTGAAAGATTTATGTAAGTAGAGAACCCTGGATAAATGTATTGGGGATCTAGATGTCTCACATGGGGAGTGTCTTTTTTGCTCTTGGTATTTTGCCTTTCTGATATTCATTATAGCCTAAAAACAAAGGTAAATATCTCAGGTATAGACATTATGTCACTTTTCATTGATTTCTTTTAAAACAAGCTCTTCTTCATGTGTGAGGTTACTTCTAAAGCTTGGGAATATTAGTACATACTGTTTTTTTCTGCATGGAGTAAAAATGGAATTCCTTATTACTGGCTAAAAGGCTCTGTCTGATCTGGCCTTACTGATGTCTCTCTGACCCTTTTCCTACCCCTGTCCTCATTCCTTAGCCATGCTGATCTCCTTGTTCCCTTAGGCATTTTCCTCTGCTTGTTTCCCTGGCTGGAGCCATTGATTTCCCCATTTCTTTGCATGGATGGCTTCGTAGTTTTATCCAGATCTCTGCTCAAAGATGACTTCCCCAAGAGATCATGCGTGCATACCCTGTCTAGACCAGCCACTTCCAATCTCCACGTACTCCGTTAGTCACTCTTTTCTCTTCCTGGCTTCAGCCCTTCTATTTCACTTATCACTATCTGAAATTATATATTACCTCATTTGTTTACTTATTTTCTCCCCTAGAATGTAAATTCCATGTAGGTAAGGAAGTTTGACTAGTTCATCTCCTGTTGTCTAACCCCTTGTGACTTATAGTAGGCACTCAATAAATAGTTGTAGAATGAATAAATTCAGAGTGAAATTTTTAAAATGTACCCTATACTTAGCCTGTGAAACCAGAAATATCTTTTTTATGTACCCTGAGGACCCACATTTTAATGAATATATATATTATAAATATATATACATATGTGGGTGTGCATGTAATTTTTAAAAATTGAAGATACAGATTCAAATTTCTGCTTTGCCACTTTTGTTCTATATGGGCATATAGATTGTTCATTTCTCAGTTTCCTCACTGTAAAAGGGGAGATATTGATAGTTTAGATGAGTTCATGGGTTTTGAATATTGAGTACCTCTAGGTTGTAGTATGTAGTAACCAGTTGTTAAATGGTAGCTGCTACTACTTTTTTTTAATGCTGCTGCTCCCACCAATACCACCACCACTGACTGAGGTTAATAGGAGACTAAAGTGGCTGCTTTTATTTGGGTGCCTTCATTGTTAAAATAAAGAATCACAGTCAACAGACTATATAGCAAAATGATTATTGGTGTGATCAGTAGAAAAATTAGGGCAGGTAGGAAAACTAAGTATCTTTTCTACTTCTAAAAGAAGAGCAAAATAGGAGATGGGTGAAAGGTTTAATAGATTATAAAAGCTCAAAATCTTTTAAGTTGATGGTAAAACTTAATACCTGTAAAATATAGTTTTTCAATAAAACCAACATTTTTCAGAATATAGACAAAAAGGATATTAAAATATTTAATTTATTTTTAAAAATTGCCTCTTAATTTAAACAGGATACAGATTATAAACCAGTGCCACTGAAAACAGGAGAGGGTGAAGATTATGTGCTGGCCCTGAAACAGGAGTTGAGAGAAACAGTGAAAAGAATGCCTTATTTTTTAGAAACACCTGAAGAAAAACAAGGTGCGTATTGGACTCTTTATGTGGTTCACTGTCTACAGATGAAATAGTGTTTCAGCATAAGATATATGACCTTTAATGCTGATTGATTTGATTCAGTCAGAAATTTCAATCAACTACCTTGAAAAAGTATATTTATGTTGATTTAACAGAAAATATATTTTAAACTTATTGATACTTTATTTTTTAAATTATCTTTCAAAATAGAAGTTTTATATGTTCAGTGAAATTTATGAAAAACAGAAGTATTAAGAAAGTAAGAATCACCTGTATTCCTTATATTTAGAGAACTACTATTAATATTTTATTATATATTCCAGATTTTTCTTCTGTGTGTGTATTCCTTTTATAAAATTGGAGTCATATTACTTTGTATCTTCCTTTTTCACTCAATAGCATATTATTAGCATTGTCACATATTCTTTTTTAGTTAATTTTTATTGGAGTATAGTTGATTTACACTGTTGTGTTAGTTTCAGGTGTACAGCAAAGTGAATCCGTTATACATATACATATATCCACTCTTTTTTAGATTCTATTCCCCTATAGGTCATTACAGAGTATTGAGTAAAGTTCCCTGTGCTATACAGTAGGTTCTTATTAGTTATCTATTTTATCCACATATTCTTAGCATTCTTAGAAAATATGATATTCCTTAGGAAATATGATATTCCATGTATTCCATTGTGTGGATATAACATTATTAATTGTAACTAGTCCCCTGCTGTAAGATTTAAGATTGTTTCTAGTTTTTTTTCTCATATGTATAATACTATGAGTACTATCCTTATACGTAAATCTTTAATCAGGTCTCTGATTATTTAATATTTTGGTTAAAACTTTTGAAAGCCTTGACTATATTTTGGCTTACCATTTATATATCAGATATAAAATATAAAATATGTATTCACTGGTTATGCCAAGGACAGAGAGGAGAAATTACAGTTGGAGAAGGCTTGACAGTCTCAGAATGGAAGTGCAAAGTGGTTTTAGAGGAAGAGAACGCATTCCTGAGTAGTTATTTAGCATAGTAGAACTATATTGATTTTCAGTTTCTGCCCCTGAATGTTGAAATTAGAGAGATCGATATCATCCTTGAGTTCTCAAAACAATATCATTAAAACATGAGAAATTCATATAGTATCATTTCATTCCATTAGTATTAAAAATGCATAGCCTTTTCCCTCATTCTAAAAGATTTAGATTGGATAAGAATCAAAAAGGAAGGCTTATATACTAATATTACACGTGCTTATAATTGTAAGAAGCATTTTAGACAACTTTATTTAATTTTTCAAAACATAGCTTCTTGAAGTTATGTAATAAATGGTTTGATATTTTTACCTCAAAAATACTGAAGTTTTTTACTTTCATGATTATGTTGCATGCTTTTCTCTATTTGAGTTTAAAAATGAAATTAAATCTCATTTTAAAGATTTAAATAAGTAAGATTAAATGAACTAATAAATATTCATTCTTAGTGAATAGTGTAGGATATACTTTTTAAAATTAGTCTCTTCTCTAGATTATGGGATGTACTTACTTAACTAAATGTGGTTGTTACTAAAGTACATGGCTAATTTAAAAGTATGTCATACCATGGAAACATTTATTTGAGTCTTTTAAACCAGGAACATAATTTTGTTCATGGTTTCGGAGAGCAGCTGGCTTATACCTGGATCAAGAGGCTCTTTACCTTTTTTTTTTTTTTTTTTTTTTTTTTTTGCGGTACGCGGGCCTCTCACTGTTGTGGCCTCTCCCGTTGCGGAGCACAGGCTCCAGACGCGCACGCTCAGCGGCCATGGCTCACAGGCCCAGCCGCTCCGCAGCGTGTGGAATCTTTCCGGACTGGGACACGAACCCGTGTCCCCTACATCAGCAGGCAGACTCTCAACCACTGAGCCATCTGGGAAGCCTGGCTCTTTACCTTTGATAACTGCATAATAAAGTATTTAAATATATAAGGAATCTTTTGTTACTGTTCCAGAACAAACCTCTTGCATATAATTTTCCAAATTGATACAAGTATATTCTCTTTGAATATACTCATGTTTACCTCTCTTTTATGATATAATGTGTTATTAAAAAAAACTATGGTTGAAAGTAAAGGCTTTTTGGGTTGGGGCATGACCTCAGCTGACCTGCACTCTGAGCCTCCATTTACCACGTGTAAAAGGCACACAAGGCCCAGGGCGCCACCTAGAGGCACCTGGAGGAAGGAGGGTTGATGCAGAGCCTGAAGAGCATGCAGCAGATGAAGGAGCAAGATAAAAACCAGCCAGACCAAACAAATGACGAAATAGGCAGTATACCTGAAAAAGAATTCAGAGTAATGATAGTAAAGATGATTCAAAATCTTGGAAAAAGAATGGAGAAAATACAAGAAACGTTTAACAAGTACCTAGAGCAAACAAACAATGATGAACAACACAATAAATGAAATCAAAACTTCTCTAGAAGGAATCAATAGCAGAATAACTGAGGCAGAACAGATAAGTGACCTGGAAGATAGAATAGTGGAAATAACTACTACAGAGCAGAATAAAGAAAAAAGAACAAAAAGAATTGAGGACAGTTTCAGAGACCTCTGGGACAACATTAAATGCACTAACATTCAAATTATAAGGATCCCAGAAGAAGAAGAGAAAAAGAAAGGGACTAAAAAAATATTTGAAGAGATTATTCTTGAAAACTTCCCTAATATGGGAAAGGAAATAGTTAATCAAGTCCAGGAAGCACAGAGAGTCCCATACAGGATAAATCCAAGGAGAAACATGCCAAGACACATTAATCAAACTATCAAAAATTAAATACAAAGAAAAAAATGTTAAAAGCAGCGAGGGAAAAGGAACAGATAATATACAAGGGAATCCCCATAAGGTTAACAGCTGATCTTTCAGCAGAAACTCTGAAAGCCAGAAGGGAGTGGCAGGACATATTTAAAGTGATGAAAGGGAAAAACTTATAACCAAGATTACTCTACCCAGCAAGAATCTTATTCAGATTCAACGGAGAAATTAAAAGCTTTACAGACAAGCAAAAGCTAAAAGAATTCAGCACCACCAAACCAGCTTTACAACAAATGCTAAAGGAACTTCTCTAGGCAGGAAACAAAAGAGAAAAAGACCTACAATAACAAACCCAAAACAATTTAGAAAATGGTAATAGGAACATACATATCAATAACTACCCTAAATGTAAATGGATTAAATGCTCCAACCAAAAGACATAAACTGACTGAATGGATACAAAAACAAGACCCATATATATGCTGTCTACAAGAGACCCACTTCAGACCTAGGGACACATACAAACTGAAAGTGAGGGGATGGAAAAAAATGCTCTATGCAAATGGAAATCAAAAGAAAGCTGGAGTAGTAATTCTCATATCAGACAAAATAGACTTCAAAATAAAGACTATTACAAGAGACAAAGAAGGACACTATATAATGATCAAGGGATCAATCCAAGAAGAAGATATAACATTTATAAATATATATACATCCAACATAGGAGAACCTCCATACAAAGGCAAATACTAACAGCCATAAAAGGGGAAATCGACAGTAACACAATCATAGTAGAGGACTTTAACACCCCACTTTCACCAATGAACAGATCATCCAAGATGAAAATAAATAAGGAAACACAGCTTTAAATGACACATTAAACAAGATGGACTTAATTGATATTTATAGGACATTCCATCCAAAACCAACAGAATACACTTTCTTCTCAAGTGCTCATGGAACATTCTCCAGAATAGATCATATCTTGGGTCACAAATCAAGCCTTGGTAAATTTAAGAAAATTGAAATCGTATCAAGTATCTTTTCCGACAACAACGCTGTGAGACTAGATATCAACTACAGGAAAAAATCTGTAAAAAATACAAACACATGGAGAATAAACAATACACTACTTAATAACCAAGAGATAACTGAAGAAATCAAAGAGGAAATAAAAAAATACCTAGAAATAAATGACAATGAAAACACAATGACCCAAAACCTATGGGATGCAGCAAAAGCAGTTCTAAGAGGGAAGTTTATATGAATACAATCCTACCTCAAGAAACAAAAATCCCAAATAAACAACCTAACCTTACACCTAAAGCCATTAGAGAAAGAAGAACAAAAAGCCCCAAAGTTAGCAGAAGGAAAGAAGTCATAAAGATCAGATCAGAAATAAATGAAAAAGAAATGATGAAAACAATAGCAGAGATCAATAAAACAAAAGCTGGTTCTTTGAAAAGATAAACAAAATTGATAAACCATTGGCCAGACTCATCAAGAAAAAAAGGAAGACTCAAATCAATAGAATCAGAAATGAAAAAGGAGGAGTAACAACTGACACTGCAGAAATACAAAGATTCATGAGATTACTACAAGCAACTATATGCCAATAAAATGGCCAGCCTGGAAGAAATGGACGAATTCTTAGAAAGGCACAGCCTTCTGAGACTGAACCAGGAAGAAATAGAAAATATAAACAGCAATCACAAGCACTGAAATTGAGAGTGTGATTAAAAATCTTCCAACAAACAAAAGCCCAGGACCAGATGGCTTCACAGGCGAATTCTATCAAACGTTTAGAGAAGAGCTAACACCTATCCTTCTCAAACTCTTCCAAAATATAGCAGAGGGAGGAACACTCCCAAACTCATTCTACGAGGCCACCATCACCCTGATACTGAAACCAGACAAAGATGTCACAAAGAAAGAAAACTGCAGGCCAGTATCACTGATGAACATAGATGCAAAAATCCTCAACAAAATACTAGCAAACAGAATCCAACAGCACATTGAAAGGATCATACACCATGATCAAGTGGGATTTATCCCAGGAATGAAAGGATTCTTCAATATACGCAAATCAATCAATGTGATACACCATACTAACCAATTGAAGGAGAAAAACCATATGATCATCTCAATAGATGCAGAAAAAGCTTTTGACAAAATTCAACACCAATTTATGATAAAAACCCTCGAGAAAGTAGG